GTGTAGACGGTTTAATGCCAGACTGTCTTTCCTGTTTTGAGGAGTGGCAACCTCAGAGAAACTGAACGTTTCCCTCTAAATGTGAATTAAATGTTTGTTTCTCAGGTTTCTGCTGATTGAGACTCACCTGATCTGGTTCTGCCTGACCTGTGACCTCAGACACCAAACACCTGCGCCAGACCCGATAATCAATCGGGCCTGTTATTGGTTAACAGACTGACTGGAAGGACTCTGATTGGCTGATAAAGTCTAGTCCATGGCCGCTTCGGAGCTGATCGAGGAGGAGGAAGTCCGGATCCCCGTGGAGACCAACGTGACATCATCAAACTCCCCCACACAGATTCATCCACAGAGGGTTGCCAACGGTAACCCCACCCGCCACGCCGCCACGCCGCCGCCCCTCCCAGACGACCACGACGGGCGCGGCGGGCTGTGCAGCCTGATGCTGATCGAGTCTCTGAACAACAAGCTGAAGAGACGCTGCGACTACGAGAAGATCTGCGGCGAGGCGGAGCCCGCCGACAGCCTGCCCAGCGAGTGGTGGAAGACCGGCGTGGCCTTCCTCTACGCCTTCTTCAACCTCATCTTCACCACCGTCGTCATCACCGTCGTCCATGAGAGAGTGCCGGACAAGTCGGTCAGCCCGCCGCTGCCGGACAAGTTCTTCGACTATGTGGACCGGGTCCCCTGGGCCTTCACCATCACCGAGACCAACGGGCTGATCCTGGTCGGGCTCTGGCTCGTCCAGTGGCTGCTGCTCAAACACAAGTACGACCGCTGACTGATACATCCATTAGTAATATCATTAATAGTAGTAATATAGGACCTGCCTTTACATTACCTTCATCCACTGTGAGTGATAATAATGGCTGTAGGAGCAAATGACGTATTTACAGCATTGATATTTCACTTACTGATCGGTTCTGTGTCTGCAGAGCCATCGTGGGCCGGCGGTGTTTCTTCCTCATCGGGACTCTCTACATGTACCGCTGCCTCACCATGTACATCACCACGCTGCCGGCGCCGGGGAAGCACATGGTCTGCGCCCCGAAGGTCGGTGGAAACTCGACTTCTTCTCCTCCTCATCCTCAGTTCGTTTGCTGGAGCCAATAATCGATTGTTTCTCTGCAGCTTTACAACGACTCAATGGGGAAAATATGGAGGATCCTCCGGCTCATTTCAGGAGGAGGTAACGCTACGCTAACGGCTTATCGATTATCACACCCTGGGTTCTGATTGGCTGACAGCTGATCCTACAGAGTCGATCAGATTATCTGATCAAAAGCTCATCAAACTTTCTCTTCCAGGTTTGTCTCTGACCGGTTCTCACCTCATGTGTGGAGACTACCTGTACAGCGGCCACACCGTCATGCTGACGCTGTCCTACCTCTTCATTCAGGAATGTGAGTCCACAGCAAAGCTTCAGATGAGCTTCAGCAGCTTTTCACACAAACTTTAACAATAAACCTCCTTAAACACCAACTTTTAAAATCAAGTCTTTAGCCGACTGAAGGCAGATCCTTCCTGTTCTCACCTGAGGTTTGTTCTACAGACTCGCCCCGCTGGATGTGGTGGTACCGCTGGGCCTGCTGGGTCCTCAGCGCCTCCGGGGTCGTTTGCATCCTGGTGGGACACGAGCACTACAGCATCGACGTGGTCATCGCCTACTACATCACCACCAGGACCTTCTGGTGGTACCACACCATGGCCAACAATCACGTGAGTCCAATAAGTCACAGCAGAACCATTGGGTCAGAGCGGGACCGTGGGTTTAAAGCGGGACCGTTGGGTCAAAGCGGGACCGTTGGGTCAAAGCGGGACCGTTGGGTCAGAGCGGGACCGTTGGGTCAGAGCGGGACCGTTGGGTTAAAGCGGGACCGTTGGGTCAGAGCGGGACCGTCGGGTTAAAGTGGGACCGTTGGGTCAGAGCGGGACCGTCGGGTTAAAGCGGACCGTTGGGTCAGAGCGCGACCGTCGGGTTAAAGTGGGACCGTTGGGTCAGAGCGGGACCGTCGGGTTAAAGTGGGACCGTTGGGTCAGAGCGGGACCGTTGGGTCAAAGCGGGACTCAGGTCTGGACTTTGACTCTGACCAGTCCACGTCTCCCTGCTGAAGAAAAACATCAGCATGATGCTGCCACCACCATGCTCTGGTCTGAGGTGTTCAGATTTATTTTGTTAAAGCTGCGTATCATTTTTCTACTCAATGCCCCTAAAAAGTTTTAGTTTCCATTAATTTTTGGGTGAGAAACTTTTCAGTTAACGTCATAAATCTAACTTTGTGTTTGAACTCGCATCTCTAACTTGAATTAACCAGGACACTTCCTGGATGATTTACATAAACAACAAAAGTTTTTTTTATAAACAACAAAAGTTTCTTTACTTATTTCTGTCAAAAGGCTCCATCGCAGTCGGAGCGGTCCGGTCCAATGAACCGGACCGGAACAACTGAAAGTACATTAAAAACTCCAGTTTCTGTCTGAACCCAGTTAAACAGAACATAATTAAAGGTAAAGTGGAGCAATCTGCAAAGCATCATGGGAACTTCATCTCCTCATTGACAGCATGTCACACAATGTCTTAAAAATGTAAAACGAAGTGAAACGTCTGAATGTTGAGTCACCAAACCGTCGCCGATATTCACTTGTTCATTGGGTTGAAGCATCATGTGATCGTCTCTTGCTCTGTTACATTAAATACAAATAAAATGCTTTCATTTTGTAGCAAAATGTAGAAAGGTTGAGGTCTTCATGCTGCGGCGCCCTCTGCTGGATTCATGGTGGAATCAGATGGTTTTTGAATGTAGCGTTTATTCTTCTTCATGTCTGTGACTCAAACGTTTCCACTTTAAAACATTCTTAGCTTTCTGTTTTCGGTTTGGGTTTCCACTCATTTCTCCAAACTGCTGTGACGTTTTCGATTCTTTTTCTTGACTTTTCTAAAACCTGTTTCTGTAGAAACACTTCCAGGGACTTTGTAGCCGGCAGCCATCTTGGTAGGCACCGTAACTAACTGCCTCAAGTTGCTGTGACAACAATCTTTATAAGTCGTTGTTTGACTCTCTGCTCTGACTAACTCACTGTTAGCAGCATTAGCTCGGCTGATGTAGCTGTTAGCTGCAGCTGCTGTTTGTCGCCGTCTGTTCTGACTGGTTTGTTTGTGGCGCCGTCCAGGATCGCGCCTCCACCAGCTGCCTGAACCGGGTCTGGTGGAACCCGGTCTTCAACTTCCTGGAGAGGAACGTCCGGACGACGGTTCCGGTCGTGTTCCTGTCGCCGCGGGCCCTGCTGTCCTCCTGCAAAGAGAGGTACCACACGATGGGCGTCGAGCGGGACGAGTGAGGACCGGACAGGGCGGGCGGGGCCCACCGGGACCCGGACCGTAGAACCCACTTGGTACCGCTCTGCTCAGCAGCTGGAGGTGTTCGTGTTCCAGGCTGCTGGTCCAACTTGTTCTGGATGTTGAAGCCGAGGAGCAGAAAGACGTTTTGAGTTCTGCTCCTGCAGAGTGCGTGTTGAACCCCAACGGACCTTTCCGGGCCGGGCGGTCTGAGCGGTTCTTCTCTGGTCGAAGCTCTGAGACGATGCTGCTGGCTGAACTTTTCAGTCGGACTCTACAGAGAAAGTTTCACCTCATCGTTCAATGTTTCTGCTGTTCTCTGGGCTCGGTTCTGAGCTCGGTTCTGTTGGACTTTAACGATGCCTTGGGGAAGTATTCACCCCCTAACTCACAGCGTTTCTAGTTCTGGATCTTTAAATGTTTCAGTTCATCAAAGAACATGAATAAAAACCAAAAATCAGTTTCAAATGATTTTATTTATTGCTGCTTCCTCATCAGAGGCCTGTACTTTGACTAGGCCACTCTTCTGTTCCATCCTTCATTTTAAGACGCCCCGGGTTATAGAGCAGAGGTGTTCAAAGTGTGGTTTGGGGGCCCTTTGTGGCCTTTGACATGATTTTGTTTGAGGAGGAAACAAATATGCAACAACGTATTAAACCCAAACTTCCTCTAATGCAGTGCTTCTCATTTATTTTCCGTTACGCCCCTAGCAAGAAGAAAACTATTCGCGCCCCCCACTCCCACCGTGACTATCCATCTCTGCATAACATTTTTTCCTTATTAACATTTTTTTCGCTGAAAAAACTCTAGCGGCTTATCGGCGTGATTGGGATGTAACGTATTTAAGTGACGCGCTAATTTATTTGGCTTCATGCTGTCCGCTGCGAGCATTTTTAGACACAGCAAAACACCGGTCTTTCCTCTTCTCCAACTGTAGTCACAGTGAAGCCAAGCGCTAAATACGCTTCGTCGTATTTCCTCTTCTTAGCTTTCGGTTGACTTTCTGTTGTCTCATTATCTTTGTCTCTCTCCGCTTTTCTTTTCATCCCTGTGAAAAACTTTTCATGTTGGGGGTTGTTGAATAACGGACGCCATAGACAGAACGCAGTCGGAGCTTTTTGTTGACTTAACACTGCTAACCAAGGCAAACCTGTTGTCTTGTAAGTCGTAAAATGTTGCACTGTCGCAAACGTGACAGAAGTAACAATGAGAGCGCCACTGCCGCCTACTGTGCGCAATTACACTTTATACTAGTTCGGCCAAAAAAAAGCCTGTTCCCCAGGATCACACGCCCCCCCAGGTATCGCACCGCGCCCCCCAAAGGGGGCCGCCCCACTATTTGAGAAGCACTGCTCTAATGACAGGAAAAACTCAGGACAGGAAGAAACGTCTGGATAAAAACAATAAAATTTCACTTTACAGGACAAACAAATAACATGCAGGATGTTATGGAAGGAGTTTTTTTCTTTATTCTTATTAGTTGAACATTTTTGCTAGATCCAAGTTTTTAACTTCTTTGCTGAGCATCACTGCCACCTTCTGGAGTGGAGTGTTACAGATCGAATCCTGCAGGTGAAATTCAGGATGTGGTGAAGCTTCAGAACAGGTGTATGAATATATTTGAGCCTGTTCAGATCAATTTTAAACAAAACGGTCGGTTCAAACTGTCAGGTTGTTGGTTGTATTCCAGTCGGGAATGAAAATGATTTATTTGGATTCCATGAATTAAACTGAAAACATTGAATTAAATCCTCATTTATAAAAATAAAACATTTAAATTGATTCCATGGATTTAAACAGGATATTATGAAGACGTGTTTCATTTCCAAATCAATATTGATATCGCAGCTGTGACCAATATTCATCTGATGTGATATCAGGATGAAACAAATAACTGACTAATATTATTAAAAAATGTTTCAATCATCAAATCAGTTCTTAACGTTGCCAAACATTTACGTCTCATTTTTACTGTACTGCAGTGCAGCTTCAGATCGGCAATAAATCTTTACACCCGCTGCTGTCTGACTCTGCATCATTGAACTACACCTGGCTGCAGACGACCTCTGACCTGGAAGAGCTTCCCACCAGCTGCTTCCTCTTCCTCTTTCCCTGGAACGAAGGAAAGCCTGAGTTTTTTCCTGACGGTTGGCATCCTGTGGATGTTCAGGATGTGTTTGGTACGTACGTAGTTGTCCTTGGCGGACCAGCCGGGGTGGAGCTGCATGTGCAGCAGCCGCTCCTTCTGGGCCAGGTCGTAGAACCGGGACTGCTCCGATGGAGGCAGAGCGTGCCACTGGGTCAAAGACACAAACATCAGGCCCGGCCGGGGACACGCCCCGACACCAGAAACCATACACCACAAACCAGACCGACACCACAAACCAGACACCACAAACCAGACCGACACCACAAACCAGACACCACAAACCAGACCGACACCACAAACCAGACACCAGAAACTGCGTTTCCACTACTGATGGAATAAAATATACAAATAACAAATTTTTGTAATTGCAGCATTATGGGCAATAATGCTGCATTATGTAATATCGACTTTCTCTTCCTACTTGGGAGCGGCTCCATCTTAGGGAAACTAGTCGGCCATTTTCCTTTAGAGCGATGGACTCAACACACAACCTGTTATGATCTGTGTGATGCTGCGAGAGCTCTGGAAAACAAACTACCTCATTCCACCACTTCCTGTCGTCTTCTTTGGCATTCCTGTCAGTCTGGTTTGTGGTGACAAACCAGTCACCACAAACCAGACTTCACATCATGAGTCGTCACATGACTCATGATGTGAAAAAAAGATATATATTTTTTGTGATTCTATTGATTTATTTTGGTAATTTCAGTGAATTTCCAGTGAATGGAAACGCAGCTGCTGTGACATCATCCGGTGTCTCACCCGGCGTCCCAGGATGCGGTTTATGGCGGCGCTCTCCTTCTCCTGTCCTTCCTGCAGCACCTGCTGTCGCGTCTCCTTCATGTAGAGCATGAAGGCGTTCAGCGGCTTCTTCACCGACGGCCTGCCGACAAACACAGCAGATCGGACCTGCACCAGAACCAGGGCCTGACGCAGCATGGCCTCAGCAGCGCTAACGCTAATGCGCTAAAGCTAATGCGCTGGAAGGAAACTGAGCAGGCGATAGCCAAAACTTAGCGGCAACGTTTCGACACAGAGAACTTTGCATTAGCGCTAATGAGCGCTAAATGTTTTCAAAGCTAGCTAAAGCGCTAAACAAAAGAAATCAGCTCTGCTATCATCACTGCTATCCGCTACATTAAGGGACTAAATGTTCCTTAAATCAATCAAATCCATAACTGGCTTAAGACGTTTGGACAGAAACTAGAACCAGCTGATGAACAGAAATAAAATCAGGAATCGTTTCCCTTTTATTAGCGAGCAGAAGAAGAAAACAACTAAAGGTTCTGGTTCCTGTTCTGCTGGAACTCGCCTGGAAACGCTGTGGCCATGGTAACAGGGGCGTGTCCAGGAGGGCGGGTCGGCCTGGCGGGCATCGGGCCAGCTGATTGGCTGGCTGTAGGGGGGATGCAGGGGGAGGAGCCTGTCGCTGTGGAGGAGGAGGGGCACCAGAGGATGGACGGAGCTCTGGACACAAACAGAACCGGACCGGTACCAGGAGTATTTGGGCTCATAACAACAAAACATTTTGTGAATCATGTCATTAAATGGCAAGAATAAAAATAAAAAATGTTTTTGTCCTTTTTTAATTTGACTTTATTTCACAAGAATAAAATCACAATATCAGTCGAATCAAACGAGAATAAAGTTAGAACATTACAACTTTATACATTGACTTTATTCTCGAAATAATACGACACTATTGTCATAATATTATGACTTTATTTTTTATTATTATGGCCCTAATACGCTGCTTTATCAGGTAAACATCTCCGTGTTTGTTTTAAAATGAAATGTTTATTGAGTCTACAGCTAATTATAAGGCCCATATTAACAGCCTTGTGCTGCAGTTAACACAGCGGCCACTAGACGGTGACAAAAGCAAAAACTCCAGTTCCTCCCATCTCTAACTGGACCAGCTCTGACCTTTGCCCCTCAGTTTCTGACAAACAGGAAGAGAAAACGGTTTGCAGGGTTTTATGTTCCAGTGGTTCAGAGGTCATCCTGTCAGACATTCGGCCCCGGGGCCTGCAGCGCCCTCTAGACCAGATTTAACACTGATTGTGTCAGAAAGGGAACATGTTGGCTTCAAGGGAAGCAGAAAAAAACTATTGTGATTCTTTCTGACCTGGAAATAAATAAATCACAGGAGGAAACATTATTTATGTTTGAACTACTTTAGCTGAAACATCTCAGGGACATGTTTTGTGTCTCCTGCTGCTCTCCATCACTTTAGAAAGGCGGGAAAACTCACAGCAGCTGCGGCGTGTAAGTTCATATGCCCCCTGCTGGGAACACTGCAGAACTGCAGCTCGGATTCCTGAGCAGGCCAATCCAATGAGGGCTGATTATCTAAACAATAACATGAAAACATCTTAAACAATAACATGAAAACATCTAAACAATAACATGAAAACATCTAAACAATAACATGAAAACATCTAAACAATAACATGAAAACATCTAAACAATAACATAAAAACATCTAAACAATAACATAAAAACATCTAAACAATAACATGAAAAAATCTAAACAATAACATAAAACATCAAAACAATAACATGAAAACATCTAAACAATACATGAAAACATCTAAACAATAACATAAAACATCTAAACAATAACATGAAAACATCTAAACAATAACATGAAAACATCTAAACAATAACATAAAAACATCTAAACAATAACATAAAAACATCTAAACAATAACATAAAAACATCTAAACAATAACATAAAAACATCTAAACAATAACATGAAAACATCTAAACAATAACATAAAAACATCTAAACAATAACATGAAAACATCTAAACAATAAAATGAAAACATCAAAACAATAACATAAAAACATCTAAACAATAACATGAAAACATCTAAACAATAACATGAAAACATCTAAACAATAACATAAAAACATCTAAACAATAACATGAAAACATCTAAACAATAACATGAAAACATCTAAACAATAACATAAAAACATCTAACAATAATCTGAAAACATCTAAACAATAACATGAAAACATCTAAAACAATAATCTGAAAACATCTAAACAATACATGAAACATCTGAACAATAACATAAAACATCTAAACAATAACATAAAACATCTAAACAATAACTAAAAACATCTAAACAATAACATGAAAACATCTAAACAATAACATGAAAACATCTAAACAATAACAAAAAACATCTAAACAATAACATAAAACATCTAAACAATAACATAAAACATCTAAACAATAACATAAAAACATCTAAACAATAACATGAAAACATCTAAACAATACATGAAAACATCTAAACAATAACATGAAACATCTGAACAATAACATAAACGTCTAAACAATAACATAAAAACATCTAACAATAACATGAAAACATCTAAACAATAACATGAAAACATCTAAACAATAACATGAAAACATCTAAACAATAACATGAAAACATCTAAACAATAAAATGAAAACATCTAAACAATAACATAAAAACATCTAAACAATAACATAAAAACATCTAAACAATAACATAAAAACATCTAAACAATAACATAAAAACATCTAAACAATAACATGAAAACATCAAAACAATAACATGAAAACATCTAAACAATAACATAAAAACATCTAAACAATAACATAAAACATCTTAAACAATAACATAAAAACATCTAAACAATAACATGAAAACATCTAAACAATAACATGAAAACATCAAAACAATAACATAAAAACATCTAAACATAAATGAAAACATCTAAACAATAATCTGAAAACATCTAAACAATAACATAAAAACATCTAAACAATAACATGAAAACATCTAAACAATAACATGAAAACATCAAAACAATAACATGAAAACATCTAAACAATAACATAAAAACATCTAAACAATAACATAAAAACATCTAAACAATAACATAAAAACATCTAAACAATAACATAAAAACATCTAAACAATAACATAAAACATCTAAACAATAACATGAAAACATCAAAACATAACATGAAAACTCTAAACAATAACATAAAAACATCTAAACAATAACATAAAAACATCTAAACAATAACATAAAAACATCTAAACAATAACATAAAAACATCTAAACAATAACATGAAAACATCTAAACAATAACATGAAAACATCTAAACAATAACATGAAAACATCTAAACAATAATCTGAAAACATCTAAACAATAACATGAAAACATCTAAACAATAACATAAAAACATCTAAACAATAATATGAAAACATCTAAAACAATAATCTGAAAACATCTAAACAATAACATAAAAACATCTAAACAATAACATGAAACATCTAAACAATAACATGAAAACATCTAAACAATAACATGAAAATCTAAACAATAACATAAAAACATCTAAACAACAACATGAAAACATCTAAACAATAACATAAAAACATCTAAACAATAACATGAAAACATCTAAACAATAACATGAAAACATCTAAACAATAACATGAAAACATCTTAAACAATAACATGAAAACATCTAAACAATAACATAAAAACATCTAAACAATAACATGAAAACATCTGAACAATAAAATGAAAACATCAAAACAATAACATGAAAACATCTTAAACAATAAAATGAAAACATCAAAACAATAACATGAAAACATCTTAAACAATAACATGAAAACATCTAAACAATAACATGAAAACATCTAAACAATAACATGAAAACATCAAAACAATAACATAAAAACATCTAAACAATAACATGAAAACATCAAAACAATAACATGAAAACATCTAAACAATAACATGAAAACATCTAAACAATAACATAAAAACATCTAAACAATAACATAAAAACATCTAAACAATAACATGAAAACATCTAAACAATAACATGAAAACATCTAAACAATAACATAAAAACATCTAAACAATAACATGAAAACATCTAAACAATAACATGAAAACATCTAAACAATAACATAAAAACATCTAAACAATAATATGAAAACATCTGAACAATAAAATGAAAACATCTAAACAATAACATAAAAACATCTAAACAATAACATGAAAACATCTAAACAATAACATGAAAACATCTAAACAATAACATAAAAACATCTAAACAATAACATGAAAACATCTAACAATAACATGAAACATCTAAACAATACATGAAAACATCTAAACAATAACATAAAAAAAACAATAACATGAAAACATCTAAACAATAACATGAAACATCTAAACAATAACATAAAAACATCTAAAACAATAACATAAAACATCTAAACAATAACATAAAAACATCTAAACAATAACATGAAAACATCTAAACAATAACATGAAAACATCTAAACAATAACATGAAAACATCTAAACAATAACATGAAAACATCTGAACAATAACATAAAACATCTAAACAATAACATAAAAACATCTAAACAATAACATGAAAACATCTAAACAATAACATGAAAACATCTAAACAATAACATGAAAACATCTAAACAATAACATGAAAACATCTAAACAATAAAATGAAAACATCTAAACAATAACATGAAAACATCTAAACAATAACATAAAAACATCTAAACAATAACATATACATCTAAACAACATAAAACATCTAAACATAACATAAAAACATCTAAACAATAACATGAAAACATCTAAACAATAACATAAAAACATCTAAACAATAACATAAAACATCTAAACAATAATCTGAAAACATCTAAACATAAAATGAAAACATCTAAACAATAATCAATCTGAAAACATCTAAACAATAACATGAAAACATCTAAACAATAACATAAAAACATCTAAACAATAACATAAAAACATCTAAACAATAACATGAAAACATCTAAACAATAACATAAAAACATCTAAACAATAACATGAAAACATCTAAAACAATAAT